AGAATGTTTCCAAAATGTAGTTTTTGAGTTTCCTCTAAAAGAACCCGTTACATCTGCGCCAGACAATGCATGTAAACCAGGAAGCGCTCCAGCTTTTAGAGGACCTAGTTTATTGTAGATAGCCTGCAATGGAAACTCGAGGATTTTAGAACCTGTTTGTACAAAAGCTGAATCATATCAGGAGAAAAAAATCTTATTTTACTTGCCCTCTTACCAGACGCTTGTATTATATGAAATAACATTTTTTTATCTGCCTCTTCATGGCTGCTTTCTAAAAATGGCATGTCTCGATTTTTTTTGTTAGTAATAATCTCTGATCTATATGAACAAACTACTGTGACTTGACTGGAAGTGTTTTCCACTAGTTTTTAGAGAGATACTCGGTAAGCTTATCTTTTGTAGTTGTATGCGATAATATTTTTTTTGTTAAGGTTTTTTACACTAGTTTTGTCATGGACATTGTATTTTACTGGATCTACACCCTTTTGTCTTCTAGTCCATTCAAAAGACTTCAACGAATTTTCATTGTAGGAACCAAAAACTACATGAACTTCATTAAACATTCCATACTTGAAAAAAATTCTGGTTACAAATGCGTCTGCAAAATCTGAAAGAAATTTCACATTGTTTAAGGATATCATTTGGACTTCTGCCATTCCGTCTATGATTGCAACAGAATATGTTAAATTTAAGACATCACACACATAATCCAGAAGGTGTTTCTGTATCATCTTCTATAATTTCGGCCAAATGGGACATGAGACTACTTTTTGCAGAACACTTAATTAATGATCCATCAGAATAAAATAGACAACGAGGAAGAGCAGATAACTCATAGATTCCGATTATACTTTTTAAATCATCATCGTCCCGACTACGACAGATAAGGACACATCTAGTAAAAATATTTTCATCTTGTCGTAATTCGATGACTCCTTGTTTGGTATTGACTTTAACTTTTTTTTCATAGAACTACATAGTTTCAATTTTACTGTCTTTACCGGATCCCAAAAACCAGCCTCATTTGTTTTAATTCTGCTCTTAAAAAATATATCAGCCTCGGTCTTTCCTATCTCGGACATATCTTGAACGTCATGACGAACGTACTCACTAGCTATGCGATTGGTAATTAATCAAATTGTTATCTTCGCACTGGAAAGGATTGACGTAGTTCTCAAAAGTTTCTTTCATTGATTTAGATGACACTTGCCTTTCACAGATGGATTTATTCTATTAGTGGTGCCTTTCCTTATTGTATCGGAAAGAGTGCCTATAACCGTGTCATATATTTGATTAAGATGTGGAGCACATAAAAAGTACTTGACCAATGCCTCAGGATTAAGCGTAACTCCAGTATGTCCTCCAGAAACTTTTAGTTTCCGATTTTCTTGTTCTAAAGCTTCATCAGCACCTAGAGAACAAAATCCGTTCCCGTATTTATACCATTAAAGGCCAGAAGATAGGTATTCCCAAGTAACAGGATCTTCTTTTCTACTGACACTGATTTCTGCAAGATGGTGACATATCATGGATGGTTTGGTTTGGTTTGGTAGTTCCGTAGTTCCTTAAGTCAAGTGCAAACAAATATTTTTGAACCTCGTTTAAGGTAGCAAGTCGTAGCTCCCAATTCCTACTTCGCACAGCACTTATAAATGAGAGCATTGTGAGAGCCATATTTAAGTACTGAACTGCAAAGGTAAAAGTTGAGTTGTTCTCAGAAATATAAGCATTTAGAATATTTCTCAATATAAACTTGATTCATCAACACATGTCATTAGATTTTCAAAATTATCCAACAAAAATTTGTCATATGTAAAAATTTTAAAACAATTATCCAACTTAATTTGTCATAGGTAATTTTTAATGTGTACATTACAAAATATTACTAGCAATGTTGAATATAATTATTTTGTACCAAAATGTCAGTGGTATTTTGTTTTGTGCAATAAATCGAAATACCCACTTCAAAAGACGCGCAGTGTATGTTCTCATCGGTTTTTTTTAAATTGATCTCATATTTAAATTTGCCGGCCTGAAGTTATACGAAAACGACACCAATATCAATATTTTACGTCTATAACAACTTTTCAAAAATTGGACCCCGCCTAACTAGGGGAGGGGGGTATTTCTCCGCTCTGTCATGGATGCGGGGCTGGTACCAAAAAAATCGTATTCTAGATGATACTCCGAAAATTTTAAGGTATCTCACAACATTGCCTCACGAAATTGCAAGCGATCTATGTATTTTGACAAATTGGCCCTTGACTATAAGGTCCACAAACAGGAGATGAATTTGGTCGTTATTCGTTGCCGTCTTTTTCTTAATGATCTGAGTTATTGGAAAGATATTATCAATGCATGAGCGGCCTGCTCTGAACCCGGCTTGTTCTTCAATCTCATGGGGTCTAAATTCATCTTCTGTTAGGGTTTTAAGTATTTTTCCGTACAGTCTGCTAAGAGTGTCAGACACAGGTATACATCTGTAGTTAGTGCAAATATCTTTCCTTCCTTTTTTGTGGAGTATACCCTGTACCCCTGTATCTGTATTTTTAATAATGTTGCCAGATTCCATTTTTCTTATACCTACCATTTCTGTAATATGTTGTTTTCTACATATAAAGATATAAGAAGTAGTATCAAACCACCCAAACATTTATTAGCATTTTTGAAACAAATTATTACTTAAGCTGCCGCAATCGGATGTTGCCATATTTACAATCGAAGTTAACATCTAGATGCAATAATAAAGACACCGTTATGCAAGTAGATGACTCTAAATTAGACTAAACGTATATTTAACATTATTGACCGATTTGCGTTCCGCCCACTTAAAATACCGAGGCAAACCGGCTTAGGTCTCTTTATTTGCTTTAACACCATTCCGTATTTATCCAAGCAAAACATGCACAGTCTCATTTCCGCAAGTAACGCGGTTTTCATCGGTTTCTATCGGACACATTTACTGGTAAACCTGGCAACGTGGCCAAACGGCATGGAGTTTAGGATTTTTTTATAAAAATTACAAAACTAAAGTTAAACCTGGATCATTGGAATATTGGTGGTATACTCTGTTTTTTTTTCTCAGGTCAGATTTCGACAGACGATGACGTCAGCAGATGAAGTCCATACCAATCCATTTATTTCACAAAAAAAGTTTCTAATATTTTTTAAGTTAACTATGGATGAGTTTATATAGGGTGGCACCTCTCATACGCCGCGGAGACTTCAAGGAGGACGACAGTTTGTATTGAAATGAAATTTTGTGAGCATATGTAGGTTAATTCAGAGCACTTTTTAAAAATATAGAGAGTTCTACAGGGTGTCCCCAAAAGTTACACATCAAAGTTGTGTTTTTTGTAATGGAACACCCTATATATTAATTGATTTTCGGATTCTGGGAGAAAAATTAAGACGAATTTTATAAGAGAAGTATATGACTAAAATGTAAGGTTGTTGACATTAACATTTTTTAGAAATAAAGAACAATTTTTAAATTGCAATAAAAGCTACCTAAATTGGTATTTACCCGGTATAGCCTAATATGTAGCTAATTAATTATTGTACTTTAAATCAAATTAAAACTTAATCCAAAAAGTTATACAGGGTGAGACAAAATTAATATTGAACATTGGTCACCTTTAAAAGCATTTTACCCTCTTATTTTAAATGGAACACCCACTATATTATTCCGATAATCAATGGAGAATTCATGTCTCTTCAAAATACTATTAATGTTGCCTACCCCTCAAACAAAGATTTTCCTAGATATTTTCATTTACATGATTTGAGCTGAGTATTTGATAAAATCTAGGTGGCTGTGATATGTCTGACCTTACTTCAACATAGCTGTCTAATTAGTCCAACTTTAACAACTAATCATTTTATGTCAGTTAAAACAAAAAAAAAATCTCAGAAATTTGCCGAAAATGCAAACTGCATTCACCAATTAATAGAACACTTAAATGCGCCTGATTTTATCTAGTCTGTTTTTATGGGGGTATGTTAATAAAAAACAGTGTTTACAAAACTCGACTAACTAGTGTCGACAACATGAGGGAAATTATTGTAGTTGCTTTTCGAGGTAGAACTCCACATATGCCTTTTAAAATGAAAAGATCCTTTTGAAAAGATAATTATTTTATGCAGGTAACAAGAAGGAATCATTTTGAGCATTTGATTTCATCTAGCTAATTTTTGTCGCATAATTATAGGTAAATATCTAGTCTTAATTCTGTAATAATTAAAATATGTTTTATCAATAACATCTATAATTTTTGTTAAATTAACAAAAGGTATATCAAACAGCCACCTAGATTTTTTCAAATAATAAATATTTATTGACGCATAATCATAAAAATTAAAATATCTGGGAAACTCTATGTCTGAGGGGTAGGCAACCTTAATAATATTTTGAAAATATATAAATTCCCCATTGAACATCGGAAAAATATACTGGGTGTTCCATTTAAAATAAAAGAGCAACTTGCTTTTAAAAGTGACTAATGTTCTATATTAATTTTGTCCCAACCTGTATAACTTCAAATTTCCATTTGTTTTAACATAACTATATAACTCAATTTAAAAATTTGTTAATGAAACGTCAATAAAATGTTTTTTATATACGAGTACAAAACAATCTTCTTACATCATTGACATATTTATTCTTGAATCCTCTAATTTGCATATTATTATTATCTTGACCTTTTTGAATTACTTCTTAATTTATTAATTAATAAAATTCTGACAGCAAGAAATTAAGAATCAATACTTCCTCGTTTATATTATTCAAAAACATATGGATTAAAAATTAGCGATATCAACACACTACTCATAATTTCTTTTCAAAAATTTAATGACATCTTTGTTTATATCCAAGACGTTATTGTTATTAATTGAAAAAGTCTAGTACCCTAATTCCTTTCGCGACATGCCAATTAAAAATAGCGAAATCGCAATATCAACTTATTTTGTAATAAAAAACCAAACGCACCACTGCTTACCGGCTAATCAAACTTGAAACGCTCCAACCAAAAAGATAGTTGTAGTAAAATACCTAGGTCTAGGGAAAACACACGCGACTTGGCAACACCGTTCGCCAAATCTTCGCGCACCAACCGCTTAATGCCGACACCGTGTGCTGTTGCTGTCCTGCCGTCAGCAGGAGACTCAACTGTGGCTGTCGCGAACGTGACGCGCGCGTCTTACCAAATGCCGACAGCGGCCGAGAGATCCTGCTTAAAGTAAGACGGCCTTGTTGCCAACTGTTGCGCGACTGCCAGATAAGGGTACGGATCGGATCTGGGGGGATCGATGGCGAAAATAATCGGAGCGATAAATAAGTTTGGCAACGTGGAGGTTGTGGGGAAGATTTAAGGGAGCTTGGCGATGGAGCGATCGTATTGTTGTTGTAACCAAAATTGGTATTGTGAGCTTTTTTGCTCCGTCCGGTGCGAATGTGGAGGAATGTGGTAAAATAAAACGGCGTAATGCGAGTGGTGTATTGTAAGGATCGGTATAAGTTTGTTTGGGTTTGAAATGAGAAATTATATTCAATCAAGAGAAAAGAGCTCGTTGTTTGTTGCTATGAGAAGCATTAAAATTTTCTAAATATCGCTAATAATATCATTATTATTATTCTTATTACGGGTTACAAAAGAAATCCAACCAATCAAACCACTCTATCGAAAACAATTTCTTCCTCCAGTTGTTTTCCCATTTTGGCAAACTCCTTTTCATTCCAAGATCTCCTTGGTCAGGGCCGTATCTGGGGGGGTGTTTTGGGGGTTCAAACCCCCCCCGAAATTATGGCCGAAAATTTTTAATCATTAAGTAAGCAAGTAAGAACGAAACAAAAAAGAAGAAGATAGATGAATATCAATGACTAAAGAATACAAGGACATGTAACGCCCATATACTGCAGAATTTGCCCATATACTGCAGCAGAATTTGTGACCTTAGACGCCAACTTTTTAGACATAACGACATCATCAGCTGGTCATCAGCGACAATTTTAGCGATTTTTAATAGTTGATTGTGTGTAGTAAACTTTGTATAAACTTTATTACAATGGTAATTTGTTCAGCTTTCCAGTGTAAAAGGCGCAATGATAAGAAAGAGCCAGAAGTTACGTTTTATAGGGAAATAAACAGTCCCCTACACCTTTTTAGCGTTTTTTTATTGAATTCGATAATTCTTTTTCTGATATTATATGTACTTGATATGTACTACACGTCGATACTAGTTATGTACCTTTTGTCAACATTTTAATACGTTTTTTTCGTAATTAATTAGTATGATACCACCCGATACACCATAAGCGTAGTGAAAACATATAATATCAAAAATATAAATATCCCTTCAAGCGGCAATGCTAAGTAAAATAGGTGCTACGGCACTGTTTGGAAGAATGACCACAGTTTGGTCTCGGGTGCTATTTATCCTTATATATGTATTCTTTAGTCATTGATGAATATACATTATACATCCTAACCTCATTTTTTCCACTTTGAAAGCAAATGTCATTTTCGTTTTTCGACTTTCAACATTCAAGTGTTTAAAACAGCAAAAGTTTGACAAGGACAAGATTTTGAATGTTGTTATTGTTCTGTTATTAGACAAAGAATTCTTGGACTATGACACTTTAGCGGCAGAACTAGACTTGTGGCAGCAAAAATGGAAGCAGCTACCTGCAGTCGACCGACCTAAAAACGCAATCGAAACGATACTCGGAGTGTAACCAGTGTATATTTCCAAATATATACATTTTATTAATAATCCTAGCAACTCTACCAGTGTCAACAGCTACACCAGAAAGGTCTTTTTCAACCCTAATGCCGCAACCGCACATGCGGTATTCGGCGATCTCCGATCGGGGCTTCGCCGATTTCCTATGTGTGTGGATGAGGAAGTCGGAGTTCGGCGACTCGATCGGCGACGAGAACGAGCGCTTGTCTCTATGTTGTTGCTATCAGAGCCCGCATGTGTGGATGGAAAGGCGAAGTCCGATCACGAGCGTTCGGTAGTTGACGAGCGCTCGGAGTTCGCTAAATGCCGCATGTGCGGTTGTGGCATAAGACGATTGAAGGACTTCCTACGTAACTCTACAGGTCAGGAGCGAATGACAGGACTTGCTCTATTAAGCTTACATAGAGAAATAAATATCGATATCGAAGAGGTAGTCAACCGTTTTTTCAGTGAAAAGACCAGTTTATCCTTTAATATTAATAATTTTTACCTGTTACTTTTTTAAAATTTTATTTTCAATTAAGATTTGAGTGTAGCCCAAAGCGATTTTTTTTATTATGCTTTTTTCCTAGCAGCTTTTGTACCCCCCCCCCTCCTCCAAGCCAAACCCCCCCCGAAAATTTGGTCTAGATACGGCCCTGTCCTTGGTCTTCCTCTTTTTACTCTTTTTTGGTAGGTCCACAGATAGATAAAATAGGGGGTGTATTCTGTCAATGTTGTTCAATTTATATGTGGAAAGAGCATTCACTGAGTCAATCTCCGATAGTCCCATTGGTTTGAAAATAAATGGCATTCCAATTAATAATATCCGATATGCGGATGACACAGTGATATTGGCAGCCAATGCAAATGATCTCCAAATCCTTCTAAATAAGGTTAACAATGAAAGCCAAAGACTGGGTTTAAACATAAATAGTACAAAAACTAAATTTATGGCTGTTAGCAGAAACAATTAGCAGGTCACACAATTTAAATATTTAGGATGCATGGTTAACGAAACGTGGGATCCAGATCAGGAGATCAAATGCAGGATCGAACAAGCAAGATCTACTTTTCTGAGACTGCGAGGATTTCTCACAGATAGGAATTTGAACTTCGGCCTTAGATACAGAATGGCGAAGTGCTATGTCTTGTCCGTTTTATTATATGGTGTGGAAACATGGACACTGAAGGTAGAAACAATAAACCGAATTGAAGCCTTCGAAATGTGGACGCTACGACGAATGCTAAGAGTGCCCTAGGTCGACTGTGTGAGGAATAAAGACATTCTCAGAAGAGCTGGTCTAGAAGAAAGTGAACTCTTCGAAATCCTCAGGAAGAGGAAAATAGCCTATTTGGGACACATACTACGTGGAGAACGCTATCACTTTCAGCGTCTGATTCTCCTGGGTAAAATAGAGGGGGCAAAGAGGAATATGCCGAAGGAAGCTATCCTGCCTGAGAAATATTCGTTATTGGACAGGCTTACAAGACTTCCAAGCATTCCAAGTCGCTGCAGTTAATAGAACCATCTGATGAGGAAGAAAAAGATGAACGCCTACGCAGGAATCTGCACGGCACCTTAAGAAGAAGGTAGGTCCCACTACAACACTCTCTATGGCGACCTTGAATTATCAGTTTTGATGAAATGCTCAAACCATTTGAATCATTTTCTTTCGAAACTGTGACACTACGTCTTGAATAATCCATTTCAGTTGATAGTAATCTCTGCCTACTACGGCCATTACTCGTTGACGAGTATTTGACACGCATCAGAAGATGGTTACTTTGAATTTTTTCTTTCATGAGGTTTTCTGTGACTGAAAAGCCCGATACGTAATGATATTTCTCTTCCTCACTTCGGACATTTAAAAATCTCATTGCCTTGTTACTTTTTGGTTGTCGCGACAAACTGAGTTTAGAATTCTTCTCCATTGCTTTCTATTGTGCGCTACTTCTTTCCACTAATATTTTCCATGAAAACTTAAAGGGGATAAGCATGAAGGATCAGTGGGAATCTCTGCCTAGCCACCATATAGATGTTAATTATCCAAACTTCATATCCATAATAATGCCGAGTCTACTAGATACTGTTCTAGAATTTTCATCGTTTTTTGGGATAATATATATGTCTATCCCACCAGATTGGATTTAAACCTCCAATAATTGTTTTGCCATTGCCACTTTGATCATAAAATAGGAATTTTACGATTAACCCCAGACCGCAATTTATGTTGTAAAATTCTACCATACAGTCTAACACACTGAACTGTTAACTTCATTATCTCTTTGATAGCACCTAACTGATCGGGTTTTATTTTCATATGTTTCTCTATTCTCATTGATTTTTTGAAAGAACCAGTTACGTGGTTTGGTTGAATATACAGGGTGAGTCTTAAATAAGTGCAAATGGTCTGGTAGATCTCGATAAAAGAAACATAATTTATATTTGCCGTTTTTCTAGTCCAGAACAACCGAAAAACTTTGAAAATTAAAAAAATATATATTTTTGCTTAAATTTGGAAAATCACTGGGATGTTTTTCTAAGTTTTCTTTCTTGTAAATTTAGTCTACTACCTATGTTACTATATTATCAAGATTAAAAAAATTCCAAGTTTTTTTCTCAGTAAAATAAAAAAAATTGCGAAAGAAATAGAAGAAGATAGAGCGTTTCTGGTTTCTGTCGTAATATAGTACCCCTAAAAATATTTGCTCTTATTTAAGACTCACCCTGTATAACAGCAGATAATAATATAATATCAAGTCATTTGCTTTTTCCTTCAAAGAAATATATTTTCTATTATTTGTTTAAAGTTATTTAATTAAGTTACATGCATAACTCACGATAGTTTAAAGAAATTAAAAAATTAGTAGACATTTTTAGAGTATTAGATATATTTATTACAAAATAATTTAAACATAATTTAGAATCAATTCATAAAATATTTTTTAGGTATTTTTAATAACAGTTAGCATTTAGTATTCTCCTTTTAAAGAAATTTGGAAAAAAAAGAGTAATACAAAATTAAAGTTAATGTCTTCCAATACAACGGTGAAGATATACGATACCCCACACGGCATACCAAACCCACATGGGTATCAATTTTGCCTCGATATTATCATAAATATAAAAACCCTTCTTAAATCAGTAATGCATGTATATTTATTTGAAAATGCTTTCTGATCCGTGATGGAATTAAATGATACAGAACGTCCGACCAGACGAAATATTTTATGTGCGAAATTGCAATCAGCAGCCAAAAAATAGCTATTTATGTAACAAGTTGCGAAATGAATGTGTTTTAAGCACAGGACGCAAAATTGTCAAAAGTTGGACAATGCATCGAGTGCTTAAAACACTCTTTTCCCAACGAATTTCATACAAGATTTTTTGTGAAAGCGGATAATTTGAGATTTTCATGCTATTATTATTATTTATTTTTAAGCATTTTTTAAA